TAGTGCAATTATGTAAGTGCATGACTCTGTTTTGCTTTGTGAGTATAATTGTACTGAAATTACCTTGTATGTTTCTCCTTGTTAAAAAATAAAATAAAAATAAAAATAAATAAAATTTAAAAAAAAAGATACAATATATTATAAAGTACCAGTCGCAGGGGCCATTGTTATGCAACAGTTTTACATTCCTCTGATAACACTAACAACCACTCAGCACAGTTGCTGCCAGATGTTTGGAGCCAGTGATAGAGCAGAGATGGGGTGCGCACAGTACCTGGTGATGGCAGCAAACATGTTGGTGACTGAGGGCAGGCAGACTTTGAGGGGGTTCAGCTGACACATCACAACCCGCTCCAGGTTCAGACTCTGCAGGTACTCCAAACCTGACACACACACAGACACACACAGACAGACACACACACACACACAGATACACACAAACAGACACAGACACACAGACACAATTTCAACAATATTCAGGTGATTATACCCTAATGAAAACATAGCTATGAATAATATATTCCATTTCTGACAATAGATCCTCCTCACACACTAGACAACCAAAAAGTACCAGAATCTTTGAATTTTTAAGCTGTAAGCAGTATGCATTATTGTATGAAATAGTTATTTTATCATCAGAATGTATAATCAATTTACTTACTACTGATACACCATGAATCACTCCAATATGTCTTGCAATTAATTCTAAAACCCTGGTGTGAATGGTTTCTGACGTTAAAGGGCAGCTATTCAGTCTCTAACAGACTGTTTCATACACTCACCCTGTGTGGTTTACCCAACTTGAAGAACCAACAGTGAAGTCTGACAGTGTATGAAACTCAGGCATTCAGGGTGGTATGATGACTCCTTTATCTAACCGAGTCGTGTGTTGCAGTCCAGAGGTGTGTACCTTTCTTCATGTTGCCCTCCAGCATGGCTCTGTGTCTGAAGATGAGTGTGTAGAAGACAGCCTGGCAGGCGGTGTAGAAGGGCCCGTGCAGGCTGATGTCACAGTAGGCCTGTCTGCCACTGCTGTCCTGGCTGTCGATGTAGCGATGGATCCAGGAGAGCAGCAGGTCTAGACAGGCCCGGACTGTGCTGCAGGAGGGGGAGCGACGGAGGGGAGGAGCACACAGGATTAGAACAACAGCAGGATAAACATGGTCACAGAGAAATAAACGGCTTTAAGCGGCCTTTGTGTTTTCTTCAGCAGAAGGAACTCACAGCACGGGGATGAATTTGGCCCGTGCCAGGAAGCTTCCCAGGTATCCGGCAGCAGCCTGCCGGAGGACAGCAGGCTGAGAGGGGCTCTGCAGGATCTTCCACAGGTGATCCAGGAAGGCCTCGGCCAAGGCCTGGGACACAGAAAATACAATACAAACAGCAGTCCAGAAAGGCCTCATCTAATCAGGAGTATATTCATTAAAGTAGAAGTAACTCAAATAACAGTGACACATTTTGTGTTGTATGGATTTAGAACTATTTGAATTGAAATGTCAGTGTCCAGCACTGCAGCCCAACACTTCCTATTAGCGTTTCATAGGACGCACTGCGGCGCCGGTGTGTTTTGGTCTTTAAACTCACTAAAAAAACGTTCCTATCTTTACACATGCACTGCTGCAGCGTGGGAAGAACTGACCAGTCTGAAGCTGCAGAGGTAAAAGAGCGTGTACTGGACATGGCAGGACGCATGTGTTGGCAGAATGAGCTTGTCAAACACACTCAACAAATCTTTGTACAGATCCTTAGTCCTTTCCACGTGGAGAGAGCCTGAGAGAGAGAAAAATATGTAATAATATTAATATTATCATTATTATACAACTCTGGTGCACAGTGTAAAAGCTGTTATTCAGCTACCATTTACATGACAGACGTCCTTCACATATGCCATCAGAACAGCCATGAGGGTGTCCAGCCTCTCAGCCACCGGGTGGGCCATCACAGCCGTCGTGGAGGGGTGATCTGCTGACATATCCTCATCCTGACACACACACACACACACACACAGACTCACAGACACACAGACTCACACACACACACACAACCACACCACAACCCACACCCAACACAACACAAACCCACACAGAGAAGTCCCAGGCAAGGAAAGAACGTCATTTTCCCCTGAACACATTCAAATAAAAATCCAGGGTTTTCATTTCTTCCCAAAACTGTAATACATAACAGCAACAATACTACTGTGGGTGTGTAACCCTGTCATGTCCCTTTTCTCACATTCTCAGATATTTTGGTTAATCTGTTGTGGCATGTATTTTGAATATTTAAGATAACAAGCTGTATAAACGTTTGGGCAAATGACAAAATAACATCAAACTGTAGCACAATGTTAAAGCATGGGGGTGGGATTCTAATCATGCTTTTTGGGGTTATGTTGGTTGCAGTCAGTGCAAGAAAAAACAAGGAAACCCCTGGCCAGGTGGGAGGGG